GTAGCTGCTGTGCAAAAGCTTGAGCTTCATTTAAGGACTAATTAAGGTGTGGATGAAACTGATAAAATAGTTTTGGGCTAGTTACTTCATTTTGACCAGAAATCATAGAATCACAGGACTGGAAGGGACTTAAAAACAGTTTCACTAAAAGTCATACAAAGGATACTGAAAATGTTAATTTCCTTGTAAATATTAAATTCAATAGCAGACACACTTTGCCTTAGAAATACTTAAACCTATGAACTATTCGTTCATAATTATTTTCCTGATTTACTTAAAGGAAACCGCTGGATGATCGTGAGGTCCCTCTGAAAGCAGAAAAAGAATAATATATAGATATACATATTATGATAAATAATTGCTCTTCTGTGATACCCCTTCAGAAGCTGTTGTCTAACACTGCTGCATTTTATGCACAAACTACGTTGTTTATATGGATTCATGTCCAGTATATTCCCAGTGTGTCATGTAACTAACAGCAATATATATATGTACACACACACATAAAATACAACGTATGTATGTATATGTATATATTTATATTTTCACGTATGTATGCCTGTGTAATTAACATATGCTCTCTCTCTATTGCTATTGTTCACAATAGACAAGCATTACTTTAATTGTTCAGGATCATTATAGTGATGATGACAGGCACTTTTCTAGTACAATGCCTTAAAAAAAATAGTGACCGCCTGCAATCACTGAGGAGCCTGTATCAATAATCATGACATATTTGTTCTCCTAGTTCTCCCCTTCAACGTTGTTCTTCGCAAAGGCTGTACTACTCTGACCCAGCTGCCCTGATCCAAAGAAACCCCAACGACTGTCATTGTCCTGAGCTAACGTTCTTCCTTAGTTCTTCGATGCCTCTGAATAGGGTAGGCTGGGGGGAGGGGGCTGTTTTGAAGGAAGTGAAATCTCCTGGGTACAGGACAAAGTCCCAAACCTAAAAGAGTTGGGTTCGCTCGCGCTGGCCTCTTGAGGTGAGGCTGAAAGGCCGGGCCAGTGGAGGGGGGGAAAGAGTTTTAAAAAAAGTTATTAAGCGTGAACGTGTGCGAGTGCAAGAGAGAATAATTTAGCAATTATTTAACCACTTCTGAAGAGAGAGGGGGAGGGAGAGAGAGAAATGTCTAATGGAGAGGGGGAAGGAGAGGAAAGCGAGATACTCATGAAGTGAGGTCCCGTTTACACAGGAACCAGAGCATGGCTAGCAGTCTCATTTCACAGTTATCCCACTCTAGCTCAGAGGAGATAGATGACTCACTCCTTTAACCCGGAGCATTGGGGTGGGAGGTGGTTAAGGTGACTGCTCCGTGCAGGTGATTTAGGGCAATGCTCCGAAGTGACTGAAAAAACCCTGTTGAACAAAGATTTTTTTTTAAAATGTCCAGTTTATCACCTGACAATTCCCGGTTTCTGCTGGTCTCCCGGTCAAAGCTTAAATCAGGGGGCACAACGCATTGGTGCTTTAGATTTGCCCTCCTTTGTGCTTTGTGGGACGGGGGCCTTGGGATCCCAGTCGTCCAGACACCAAGACATCCAGAAAGCACAACTTGTTAGACAGAGTTTTCAGGTCAGTTTCAAAATGCCTAATTTAAAGTTAAATCGGTGTTTAGATTCTTTTGTTTCCAGGCTGTTCTAGGGAGTTTAGTGCCTGATAAGGCAAAGGGGTTTGTGTGGCAATAAAATCTCTCTCTTTCTGAATTTGCAGCGATTTAAAAGTTTGTGATGGAATCAAAGTTTCGCCTCTTTATTATTCTTAACTCCATTGGAAGTGATTATTTTTTTGGGCGAAGGAATGTCACCCACTTTTTATTAGTAAGATTTGAATTTGACTAGCAGTCAACTTGAGAGGATATTATGCTCTCAAGATAATGTGCAGTGTGTCAGAACAGGATCGTGTGTGCGTGCACCCACTGGATGTGTTTAGGTACCCCTGGCGAGCATAGAGGTTTACACAGCAAAACATGTCTCGGATAGGAGATTAGCTCTTTCTCAACAGGCATATATGCCAATGTTTCTCAAAAGCTGCTGCGTCTGGCTGTCTGGGGGACTGGGATGTTGTGTGGGAGCAATGCACAGAATACTTGGCGCTTCCCCATTAAAAGTCAAACGCGTCGACTTTCCTAACTCTGAGAAAGTCCACACGTTCAAAAAGACTAGCAAACTCCCAAGCTGTATGATGAACGTTCCTCTCTGCCAATGCTGGGTCAAATAGTTAAACTGACTTTAAGTAGCCCAATGAAATAGTGGCACATGTTTATCGTATGCAGATTTTTAATTACCTAATGCATCCCATACTTTACAAAGTCAAAATCTGTGGGGCAAGTAGGCGAAACTATGTGTTCCAGGGGACGCTCATAAAACGTGTCACTGGAAACAATATGGACTGTCTCCCTCCGATTTATTTCAGAAGGGCTCTGATAGAAAACTGCCGAGTTCTTGGGACTGAGGAGCTGGCTGTGGTGGGACTGACTCCACATCCAGGTCTGCATTTCTGTGAAAATGCCTGAAGCAAACCCAGGGCCACTTGCCCAGTAAAGGACGGAGCAAGCTAAGGACCTGGTGGGTTTGAAGAACGCATGGGGGGGGGGGGAGGGTTACTAAACCGGGAAGTCGTCCTTCCCTTCAGAGCCAGGGGAAGAAAACAGAACACGAGGGTCAAAATAGGGCTAGAGGGGGGATTATTGCAAACTATCTGGGATAATGTAACTAAGCTAGAACTATGGGAGACCGGGGCTATGAAACACCGACGTTCAAACTGGAAGGAGGGTGTTGGAACAAATATTTACCCCAACTATTTACCCTTAATTTGAGAGACAGTGAGAGAGACAAATTGTCTGTTAATGCGGAGGGGAATCCATAATTAAGGAGTCGAGGGGTTTGGAAAGTTTCATTGATGTACAAAATTGCAGCTCAGGAAAGTTCATATGGCTCACGACCTAGGGAGTGAGTAAGACACGTGGAAACTGCGTTCTAAGATCATCCTGACCAAATCCTCTCCTTTCCCACAAATAAGAGTTGAACTTCGGAATATCTATTCGAATAGGTACTTGTGTGTGTTTTACTAGAAACCTAATCTAAAAAAAAGTGGGTCTATATATGTTAGCAACATATATGTATATATGATACACACACACACACACACACATATATAAATAAAATCAACGTATTTTGACTATATCTTTTTATCCATAAATAGGTAATTTCCATTTATTATTGACAGGGTTCCGTGTGATATATATTAGGAACTTGGATCTGATTGGCTTGTGAGAAGACAAGATCTGTTTGTTAAATTCTAAGGCTTCAGTTGGCTCCCTCGCTTGTTAAATGAACTCTATAGGTAGGAGGCTACTGAGACGCAACAATACAATAAATGTCAGGGATATCGGCAGTGCCAAGATCAAACGATCAATCCTTGTCCCCTTGATAATCATTTTAAAATCACACAGGGGGAATTGATTTTTTTAAAGTGCTTTATTAATTGTTTCCTCGATGTTCTTTTCTCCTCCTGCGGAGGTGTTAACTCCGGTGTCGGGGGGGCGGGGGCGGCGGAAGGTGTGCACCCCTGGATTAATTAAACACATTTGTATTGTTTTAATGCTCTGTTAATTTTCAGAGCAATCACACACTTTCCTGGAATGGAAACAATGGTCCCTGACTCACGCAAGGAGATCTCGTTTGGATAAAATTCAGAGCAGAGGGTGGGCATGACGATGTGATTTGATTAACTAATGCTCGCGATGAGGACCCGACACAAGAAAATGCAAAATGAACGCCAGTGGTAACTAGAAATTCCCCCAAATGCCAAATCCTTTGTGTTAAGTCCTAAGAGGGCGGGAGGGTGGGGGGGGGGGGGGGAGAGGTCAGCTTTATATTCCGATCGAATTGTGCAGAGAGGAGTTAGAAATGTCACTGCTATTATCTGGACATTACATTCAGGCGGTTATTCCAACTTACAGGGTGGTAATTATGACACGGTGCACAACAAAAATAACCGCCCACCATGAATAAGATGGAAAAATTAGTGACAGCTCCATCTTAAATATGACAATAGTCGTTTAGCTTTAAAAATGTAGACAAATCTAATATTCTATTTGATGTGTACAAACAGGACCACTCCTGCTAACAAATCATCCTTCAATACCACTCACCAGGACAGGTTTGCATTAGACAAAAATTAGACATTTTTAGATCCTAAATTTCCCGGACAACATCTTCGGGCAACATAATAGCATTAGCCAGAAAACAGATCCTGTAATGTTTACACGCATCTGGAGGTGCCTGTACCTATAGGCAAAAACTGATAAGGATCTCAGAGATTTACAACAACCGGCTTCACTGCAAGAAATGTTTTTCTCCGTAATAGACAACACTTTAAAACAACATTTTTGTTCATTGAATAATTTGACAATTTTTAATTAAAACAGAAAATCGTCATCATGTCGAAGCATAAATATTATAGCAAATGCACATATCCAGCTTGTATTAATTACCTTTTTATTGAACAATCATTTTCTTTTCCCATTGATATCTATACATTTAATGGCAAGAACAGATTTATTTGATTAGCGAGGTCCGTTTTTACTCACAGTGTTGGTAAGCTTAGGATGTCCTTACAATCAATAAAGTCTTCCTTGACTTTCATTTCTGCAACCCATTTACAGAATGCAGATACCTGTTTTTGTGTTTTCTCTTTCCCCCCTTTTATTTCTCTCTCTCTCTCTTTTTGCTTGTGCTCTTTGCCTCCCTAAATCAAGGTGCAAAGATGCCAAACAGTGATGAAATGAAAAGAAAGCCAATTGCTGGACTGAGGTGGGGGAGATAGCTGCTAGGAGTCCGCCTGCGACTATGGAGCAGTCAGTAATTGCTGGAGACAGGGAAAGCTGGGGGTTGGGCTGAGGTAGCCATGTATAAATAGTGTGATCTCAAATTGAAAGGCATAAATAACAGCAGGAGTGATCTAACTCTATACAGCCCATCTTCTACGTGCAAAAAAAGCGTGCAGAGGACGGCCAGATCTCCTACTGAAAACAAGTGGATCTCTGTGGATAAGATCGCCGGGCAGCTATGGAAGAACTTACAGCTTTTGTATCCAAATCTTTTGACCAGAAAAGCAAAGAGAGCAGCAGCAGCAGTAGCAGCAGCAGCAAGAAGGAGACTATCACGTACAGGGAAGTTTTGGAGAGTGGGTTGGCTCGATCTAGGGAGCTTGGAAACTCTGACACTAACCTGCAGGACATTACTGAGAGCAGCAACCATTGCCCGGTGCATCTTTTCAAAGACCATGTAGAGAGTGACAAGGACAAACTGAAAGAGTTCAGCACGGGCAGGACTTCGGAAGGTAAGCACTGTGCAGGCGGCAGCCCCCTCTGCAAAGCCGGCTCCACGCCGGGAGCCTTCCTCTCCCTCTTTCCACACTGCGGCCCTTCAGCTTTGCCGGTCGCCTTAAATGAGGGGTGAAACTCAATTAATTGAAACCGATGCGTCCCGATGAGAGCACAAGCTCATCAGTTTCATGCCTTTGTGTGCGCGCGTGTGCGTGTGTGTGTAGAGAGAGAGATTTGGTTTAACAGTGAAAGGTAAAGTAGTCACTTTAGTTTAGCCAGATCCCCTCATTTAAATCGGAAATAGGACAGATTCTAGGTGCCTTAACAATGCTCTGTACGGGGGAGAAGTTCCATGTGTAGGAAAATGAGGAAATCTTGTCCAGGGAGTCTTAATGTATCAGAAGACATGTTCTTCCTGTTTCCGGGCCATCAGGATGCTGCTTCTTCTGAAAGAAAGCTGGACCTTAAGACGCTGCCTTTGGACAATTTTGTATTTCAGAACACAGATCAGTCAGTAGATTGTTTTCGGATATATGTGGGTAGTGAGAAGTCATAAAGCAGTATGGCTGTGCGTGTACTCGAAGGGGCAGATAATCATGGAGACAGAGAAACATTCCAAGCCTTGTATACATATGCTGTCATCAGGTTCAGGACATTCAGTCCTGTCGGGCAATCTCACCTTTGTCAAACTAGTTACACACACACACAAAACATGGAGGGGGACAAAAAGCTGAGAAAGTGTCTCCGGGCAAGTTGGACAGGTCGACCTGTCCAGGGAGCTACTAGGCTACACCTGGCGATAATAAAATTCGTTTAATTGGTTTGTGAACAACAACCAACCTTTCATTTAAAAAACACTTGAATTCACAGTCAAAAACACATATAACAATTTTAGAATAATTCTTTTTTAAGTAAAACTAATTCTTTTTTTAAGTGTTATAATGTACTTGAGGCCTGTATTTCTGCAGAAGTATATTTCCCTTAGCACTTCGCTATTTTTATTTTTAATGATCAAGATTACAAAGCATGGACACCATTTATAGAAATGATCCAAAGAGGAACTCTTATTAAAACGAAACCTGTATATTGTTCCAAACTCCCCCCTTTTTTGTTCTGTGCATATAAATGTTAGACTGTGTTTATCTAATCTAATCAGTCTATGTATAGAGGGGTGGGGTGGAGGTGAGAGGGCGGAGTTGTGCAAGATGAGGCGTTTGTGACAACTTCTGTTCAGGTAAGGATTCAGTCTAATTTCAATATGCTATTCCAGTCCCACCGATCTGACTATCCAATATTTTGTATACACTGTGGGCACGCTTGACTCTCTGCAGAGCATGCATCTACCACAAGTCGCAGATTATCTTTCTACAGGGCTCATCTTTATTTATTCATTTAGTTAGAAATGTCTTATTTAAATACGGCTTCATGAAAACCACACACATTACAATGAGGAATGCGGGCCAAACGCCTGTTTTCGGCAAAGGGCACGCAAACGTGAAAGTGTTAAGCAATCGAACAGCAGTCTATGAGGAGGGGGCAGTGAATTGATTTGAACTGTTGTAGTTTTAAGTGAAGAAGTGAAAACAAACATTTGGGTTCTTGTGCCCTTTCCCCCTTGGATTTCCACTGGCACAGACCGCGCTTCATTCAAATGTTTTCATTTAGTCACCACATTTTTTTTGGGGGGGGGGAGGGAGAAATACAATTCAACATTATCTCTGAATATTTATTCTCACTCCCAGCCCCACAACTGGCTGTGAGGTGGATCAGAACAAAAGAAATAAAGAACTTGCTGGGACTCCTTAAATAGCGCGGCGATGGAACAATCCGGGGAATCTTTTCGAGGCTATACAATCAGGGTTGGTCGAGGGCATGCTGCTGGCTGGCACAAGCGTGATTAAAATAGACACCCTCTGCTGATCTAATGGTTTTGGTCATTTTCGTTATGATGATTAAAAGAGGATTTGCGCTCTAGGTCCCTTTTCCAAAACATGCCAGAAAGAAAACGCGGGGGGTTGTTTTTGGCCTCGTTATGTTTTCCCCTCTTCAGTGTAAATCTCCACACGCATCAGCTCAGGTTATAAACGCTCCCCCGCTCCTGGCACCTTCTTTTCTAGCGATTTCCCAAAAGGCGGGCAAGATAGGGGTGAGGAGCTAGAGAGGACGCAAGTTATTCCTTGATGGGTGGGGAGGGGGGTCAGCTCCCCCCCTCTGATGCAACAAGGCCAGATTCTTCCAGCGACACAGAAAGATGAGCGGCCCCTGAGAACGGCTTGGAGTTTGAGGTTTCCCCAGGTACCATTTTTGGCGAAGCGGCCCAGGCCCGTGTAACTAAACAATGGACAATTTCTCTTACCACGCAAATGTTTTGCCTTCACCCCAACAGCGGTGGGCAATGCCCTGCATAACAGCATTTACTTCTAAAGAAAACAGCAACACAGAGCTCCCCCTCCCCACGCCCCTTTCCACTGGCTCTACACAGTGTTAGCAGAATGATTTCCCAATATTCGTCTGCGACCCTCCTTAATTTGCAGTTACCAGCGGATAATAGGCGCTGGTTAGTGACTTGTTTTTAAATGGACCTCACATGGCGAAATTAACCAGCTAACCAAAAAACCCAAGCCACTTCTTTTCCCTCTCCTTCGCTGTTCCTGAAACAGTGGCTCAGACCCTCCTGCTATTTAAAACGAGCGATGGTGGTCCCCAGTGATCAAATATTTTGCAGCATTCCCCTAAAGTGCAGCTAGATTTTGGGGCCCGATGCTGCAGTCTTCACTCAGGCATAACTTCCACTGTAGTCCACTGGGGTAACATCCCTGACATGGCTCTGGGATGGTGTGTTTTTTTCTGTTCCAATCGATTGCCTACGCTTTTCCTACATTGTTGCTCTAGTTGGGTGACAGGGTGTAGCTAGTGCTAGAAGATGTACGGTGCCATGGGATGGGGATACGTAATAAATAATATTTCCCTATAAAGACACAAAAATCTGCCCTCCCTTCTCCCCCGAAGCAAAAATTCTGTGCGTGACAACATGGGAGTGATTCTGTTTAATGGCACTTTCCTCTAGTTTAGAATCAGGTTAGGGAAGAGGAGAGGAAAAGAGAAACTAGTCTCCTGTGCAAAAGAAACTTTTGTGAGATACTAAAGCAAAGCTCTGTGTCCCCCGCTCACTCCCCCCCCCCCCACCCGGCAGGGATCTACGAGTGCAAAGAGAAGAGGGAAGACGTGAAGTCAGAGGATGAAGATGGACAGACCAAGCTCAAACAGAGGAGAAGCAGAACCAATTTCACACTAGAGCAGCTGAATGAGCTGGAAAGACTTTTTGATGAGACTCACTATCCAGATGCCTTCATGAGGGAGGAACTAAGCCAGAGGCTGGGACTCTCTGAAGCTAGAGTTCAGGTAAGAGAAAGACTCTTGCATTATGTTCCTGGAAATGTCCTCACCTCAGTTCCTGTCTGCCAGTGGATTCTAGCACAGTGCCCTGTTTCATTCAAAGCAGGAGAGGTGAAAGCAAAAACGACACGTCTGATGGGAAGCTGTTTGTATTTCCGGTGTACTTGTTCTGCTAAATATATTTCTTAAACTCCTCCATTGCTGCCTTTAATGGGCACGTTTTTAGTAATGATCTAATTAATAACATAATGAATTGCTTTTGCAAACTCATCTGATCACTCAATAACCTCTCCTTTAATCCCCATCTTTTCCTTTCGCACTGCTCTCCTTTTATGGGGACGTTATAAAAAAACCCAGAAAACAATTGTCATGGATAAGGCTAGACGGTTTGGGTGCTTTGGGGCTGGATTATCTAGAGCCGGGGGTAAGGTGCTCCCATCTGACTCGCATAGCAAGCATATGAATTCATTGCACCCCATCTGGTATATTCCCCCCCCCCCGCCTTTTTTTAAGGTCTCATAATCCTTAGACATAGCCACAAAATATGGCAATCAAAACCTCGCAGAATTGCTCATTGTGTCTTCGAATCGATTTAAAAAAATATTTTAACTTTCTCCTTGATAGCCGCGGCGGGGAAAAGAAAAGAAATAATTAGGAAATCCACTCCAAAAGCAAATGTAATGTAAAAAAGAATTAATAAAATCAACCTGTGGATCTCTGAGCAAGAGCACAGGGCGAAGAAATGTAAAGAAAAACTCTTATCAGGTTATTATTCTCTACATGGCTTACACAGGAAATACATCCTCTTACCTTTTAATCACATCAGTTTCTCTGAAGAAAAATTAATATATGTATATATGCATATATATGTAAATAAATATACACACTAGGCTTCGGATGGCAGAGGGATTCTCTTTGTTTTCCCCCGTTAAATATTATAAACATCTAGTCTTTGGAAAGCAAAGAGGGAGAATCTGTGCCTTCCAAATCCTTCTAGTACTTATCTGAGTAAGTGGCTATCTAGCTTTAAATAAGTACCTCCTTGAGGCATTTCCCGAAATAAATAGTGTGGCTAGTTTTTTTTTCTCAGCTGTGGGGTCTTTCTGTATAAAACAAGCTGGAGAAGGGACCTTGTCGTGTGGACCATATGCCTTAAAAAGGGAGACTTCTAGGGGAATATTGTAGGGGTTGAAAGGGCTGGTGGCCTACATTCTCCTGGAAGATTGATCTAACCGCACCATATAAATTAATGAAAAGATTAAACTTTTGCTGAAGGGGACATCAAATCTTATGTCATCTTCCCAGATCTTCTTGCTTTGGCTCTGTAATATCTTTCCAGGGCCTTGATGTACTGTTTCTATAAAAATAAATTACTTGTAATTGAATTCTGCACTCTTTCTTTCAAGTAGTTTATTACTGAGTAGCAGCACCTTAACAGGATGTTCATAGTTACAGCAAAATTGGTGCTTCAAGAGCTTGTAGATCTTTAAATACCACACCAAAAATAAAATATAAAAAAATTAAAAATGGTGATATCGATTCAAGTGGGAGTTATATGCAAGACAAAATTTCATTTCTTTATTTTTTAAAAAGAGGGCGGCATGAAAAAGGCTGGTAATAGTAATGTAAAAAAGGGAAATAGGAAGAGAAAGCGTTTAGATAAGATAATTAATTAGAAAAAAAACAGAGGACGCAATATAGTTAAAAAGAGGGAGTAGAAAAAAGAAAGGAGGAAAGGAAGGATATTTTAATACTTCCAGAACTGTTCCCTAATCCCTGTCTGCACCGCCTGTCCCTTGTTGTTAAAGGATATAGTTTCAATTTAGTGTGGAAATTTGCTGTAAATAAATTGAAGCTCCTATGGTAGCTAGTCCTTATTAACCTTTTATTTTTAGTGTTGTACTGGAAACTCATATCACCCAGCTGTCAGGGTTATAATTGAAAGTTATGAGACCATAGTGAGGAGCAGGCAGTAATTCAATTACAACAAATATCTTTGGGTTTATGGTGCAGGGCTAAATTAAATGTCATTATTCACTGTCTCTAATGGAAATCAAAAGGAAATCAGATTAGAGCATTTGTGAAAGAAATCACTGAGTGATCCTTAATGAAGAAATAACTGTCTAAAACAGTGTACTGTGCTTTACTTAGCATATTCATGACTAATTGGAATTGATCGTGAATCACACCAAGCCTGATTTATTATCGCTTAACGCAGTGGCTAATTCATCACTTTTATTCCTCTTAACCTTATTTTTCATAGCTAAAGGGAAAGGGCACTTCGTTTTGCAGATTTAAATATAATTTTTGTTTGAAGGATATTCTAATTTGCAGGGGAAGTTGTTTACACACTGCTTAAATTCCTCATGACGATTTAAACTCCTTCGCTCCCCCCCCCCCCCAAAAAAGACATGCAACGATCACAGCCGTACCAAATACATTGTGGTCGCTGCATCACGGGTCCTCACCCGAAATTGCAGTAGCTTGGTACAAAGTTTTAAATGTTTATTATAGGGGTATATTTTTGGTTTGAAAAATACGATTTTTCAGTAGTCTGTAGTTCAAGAAAGCAGAGTGACAAAAATACGAAGCGAAGCTACTGTGAATTTGAAAGGCAGATACTTTATTAGCACACGGAAAGGTCGTGCTCTTGAAAAATCCAGGTTACAGTTTTCAGTGAGACCCGTAGCTCAGGGTTTGCTCAGCTGAAGAGCTATTATTGACGCGATCATCTGGCGACCCTGAGCAGAAAGAATTGCGCTCCAGAGTAGAGAAGGCCAATTCCTACTTAAGAAAATCACTGAGGTACCCTGGGTAATTAATGCCTGTGGAAGCCTTTCTTTGCACTAATTACTCCGTTGTAAATGACCATCATTAAGGCAATTGAAGAAAGCTTGAAGGGAAAACTTGATGTAGGAAGTGCAGTTAGTATTAATTAACCGTATGATCACTTGGCAAGTGTAAGAACATCAAAGGTTGAAGGTGTTTCTTAGCTACAAGATTTTATCAGCACCGCTAGTCAATGTTTGTCCACATTTGGTAGGTTTTGCGTAAGAATAAAACTGGGCAAAAACATTTGAATCTGAGCGTCTGACAATCAACTCAACTCACTTTATTAAACTAGCCATTTGAGAAGGGAGAGGAAACAATAAACTCAAATATGTGAAATACTCTCGAATAGAAGTCAAAGAGAAACAATGACAACTGGATTTTTGCATTTGTTTAACAGTTATAATAACTGGAATTAGATGAGGATTATTGGATTATAGATATTTTCCTGGTGGTAGTATAAATAATTCCTTAAATCCAAATCTGGAAAGAGTCTGTTATTGCCTGCAAGTAAGAACATTAAAACGTCAGCAGGAACATTTAAAAAAAAATAAAAAGTTAATGTAATGGAGAATAATTCAGTCCATTTGCCCAAGTCTGGATTTATTATTTTATGTGAGACCTTAAAATCTCTCAAAACCCATAAAACTGAAGTTTTGGATTGGAACAGATAATCCAATTGGTAACAGATTTTATGGGCTAGAAATCGAGCACTGAAGTTTGACAAAATGTAAAATGTTACTGGTTTGGCTTAAATATGACGAGAAAAAGACTGATAGATCCATCATGAAGGGAGATCTGTGAGGGACACAATTTTGGTATTTGCTTTAACAATCGCGAGTGCTCACCCTCTATGGGTGGCACAAGGGAGTGAAAGCCTTGACTCCTGCAAGCCTGGGGAATACTGGGGCCGTGGGTTTAGAAAGAGGGCCACGGTTCCGAAGTGTTTGTTTTCAGGACTGTAGAGGCTTTACGGTAACGTTTGATGTGCTGGCCAGGCTCGATACACTGGCAATCTAAAAAGGAGGAGAACGAATGTTGATTGTTTTTTTGGTGTCGGTCCCACGTTCTCTAAGGCAGTCTAACAGGACTGTAAGAGCCATAATCACTCACACAACGCGCAGTGGCCACTCAGTAGCCTTGTGTGTGTGTGTGTGTGTGTGTTTATTTTATACACATCATTAAAATTATACGAACTGCTTGGCCTCCGCTTGCTAGTCCCGCTTCTCAACAGCTGCCTGTCTACCTTCCCCTTTTTGTTTTTATTTTTGCAGGTCTGGTTCCAAAACAGGAGAGCAAAGTGCCGAAAGCAGGAGAATCAGATGCATAAAGGTGGGTCTGAGAGCCCGGATTCAGGGAGTGGATGGGTGGGATGGTCATTGGTCACTGAGTGCTGGAGAAGAAGGCCGCGGATGGCATGAAGGGAAAGTGCCACCCACGGGGCTGACCGTACCATGTCTCTTCTTGCAGGTGTGATCCTGGGAACTGCCAGCCATTTAGACGCCTGCCGAGTAGCCCCTTATGTGAATATGGGAGCCCTGAGGATGCCTTTCCAACAGGTAGTTCGTTTTGCTTCCCGTTAAACCCCTGCCCCAATGTCTGGAGCGCCTGCCCGCCCTCCTCCTCTGCTGCCCTTTCACCGCCAAAGGAGGAAGTGGGACACACGTTTACAAGTGCCATTTATAGCGAAGTTGGCACGTATTAAAAGCACGCTGTAAAACTTCTGAAGGGGCCTCTTTCCAAACACCCCCCCCCCCTCGCCTCCCCTGCTCAGGCAGAGGCAGGCGGCTGTAGGTCTGCCCCTCCTTTCCCGGTGTGCTCTGGCCTTGTGGGAGCCCAGATGCGCAAAGGAAGGAGTCAGCAGCCCAGCCAAACCCCTCCACCCCCCTGGAGACTCAAGTCTCCTGCGTTCAGTCGAAGGGGAGTTTGGCTGCAGGATCCGGCCCTCGCATTGGGAGAGGGAAGGGTTGGCCAGCCCTGCCCAGGTTCCTCCCTCGCGGTCCCCTGATGCTGACAGAGCGCACGCAGGGCAACAGTAAGGGAAGGTGGGGAGCCTCTTCCTTCGCGAGACGTGGACTGTGCTACTGGCGCTGGCCGCCCTCGGAAGGAAGAAACCTTGTGCATTGTGCAGCAGCCGGCTCGCTAGGCCGAGACGTGGCAAAGACAAGCCTCCCCGTTAGGAGCTGTCCCTTCTCCAAGCCCGAACCCAGGGAAGGTGACTCGCCCGGAGCTGGCCTCGTCCCTGCAAAATCGACTCCACCACGGAGAGTCCAGGGAACAAAAATGCTCCTGGCGCTGCCTGCGTCCATTTTCCTTAGTAAAACCTGGGCGCGGGAGGTGATAACGCGCTGGCTTTTGCTCCCAGTTCAAGGGCTGGGCGCTCACGTTGAATCAAACTGTAAACCCTGTATATAATGGAAACCCCTTCAACACCTCTAGTTCCAGCACCTCTATATGGGGGGAAAGTTTCCCCCTTCACTCTGTCTATATATATTGGGCCTACGTCTGCTCCCTGCTCCATGGGTGTAAATCAGGAGCAACCCCCTTGAAGTCAGTGGAGTTACACTGGCATACAACCCAGGTAACAACGGAGAAGAGAGGCAAACCCGCCCAGATACCACTTAACAGCTCAAGCTACAGTTTGTGGCATTTCCTTTTTGTGTCTTTACATAACCGATTGAGGAATCGGTTTCCCAAAAGCAAACTAGGTAGAAGAGATAGATTAATGCTACTGATTTTTGAAAAACACATATCTTGGGGGAGAAAACCCACACCCGAGGCGGAGATCTCTCTGTCAATCCAGTGTGTTTGTGTAGGTCTAGAAAGCTCCAAAGTAAACATTGGCGACTGGTCCCTTTTCCAAGGTTAAAGAGTTTTTAGAAAGATATAAATAAACATCCCTAGGAAAAATGCTATTTAGCACTTGTTGGCGCCCATGCGATGGCCAACTCATTTTTGTAAATACTGGAAGGCCTAAATATGCCTCTATTCTCTCTGTATAAGTGCTGAGCGGAGTGTTTAATATCAACCAGCCAGTTCTCGTCCAGCTTTGCCGTACCTGCTTAAATCAAGCCAGTGCCTAGCTGTCTCCTTTATTCATGCTCCCCGCATTTGCTGCGTGCAAGGGGTTAAATGGGTGACTCCAATCACAAGCCCCTCTTTCCCACTTGCAGCTCTAGTCCTTTCCTTGAGCACGCAGTGACCTGCACAATCGCTGCTGTGCACGGGGGAAGAGGCCAAGGGCTGTGGACATTGTATTCCTCTTGAACTGCGCTGATCCGAATTCCTTGGCCCTCCGAGCCCTGCTGCGCTTTCTTGCCACAAGATCACATCTTGTGCTGCCAGACCACGCGAGCGGCTCTGTCGCCAATGCGCAGTCACCCTTGCGGAGACAGCCGAAGGTGGAACCGCACTAAAACTAGGCCGGGTCGGCGGGCAGGCAGTGGAGGAAACTGCAAATAAATGGCTACCACTGAAACCTCTGCTCAGGGACGGTGGGTAGCGAGAGGTGACTGGGCGCCATGTGGATCGGCTTCATAAACCGAGTCCATTTCCCGCCCTCGGAGCATGTGGCTTGCTGACAGCGTATAGGACGCACCCCGCCCGCCAGAGGTGGAGGGTGCTGCTGCTGCCCCGGGAGGTTCCTAATCCCCTACCAGGGGTGGGTGAGGAGGGAGAGGGCAGCTCTTGACCCGCGCTGGGTGGCAAGCCCGCACCCAGCTTCTCACCCGGCTCCCCTCGCTCTGCTTTCCCAGGTCCAAGCGCAGCTGCAGCTGGAAGGCGTGGCCCACGCCCACCCCCACCTCCACCCGCACCTGGCCGCCCACGCTCCCTACCTGATGTTCCCCCCGCCGCCCTTCGGACTCCCCATCGCCTCTTTGGCCGAATCCGCCTCCGCCGCTGCGGTGGTGGCTGCTGCTGCCAAGAGCAACAGCAAAAACTCCAGCATCGCCGACCTGCGACTCAAGGCCAGGAAACATGCCGAGGCGCTGGGGCTCTGACACTTTCCCCGTGCTGTGTGCGTGTGTGTGTGTGGCCAGGACTCCCTCTCCGCTCCCTCTTGCCCTCCGCACCACCCCAACGTGACTCTCTGCAGGCCCCAGGCCTGCGGGGGAACAAGGGTCGCTGGCTTTTGGAAGGCCTGCAAGTACTTTTAAAGACGATCACGACTGCTCCCTCCCGTCCCTAGTTCCTCTGTTTGGCTTTCCTCTCTCCCCCTGCGCGCTCAAAGCCTGCGCACCCGACCCGGTTCATCTGAAGACTGAGGGGGCCCACTTGCCTGTCCTTCTTTTTTATTTTTCAGGCACCTAGCGCTCCACAGTTAAAACTGCTCCCCCAGATGCAATGGTAGGGTGAGACCATCCCGAATCTGATTTAAGTCATCCGATTAAACACATACACACCCGCACACACACAAAAGCAAAGACTTTCCGGAGGATAAAGTAGGTGGGGAACAAAATCTTTAAATTATGCTAATCTGTGAACAGTGGGACATGTGGATTTTGACCCTGGCAAAAGTGATCACATCAGCGTGAGGTCATCGGCTGCCGTCAGTTCTGCGACCATGTGCATGTGTCTAACTCAACACATTTTCAAGATCCTAACATCTATTAAAACAAAACAAACAAAAATATAAAAAAGATCCTTGGGGCTGGTCTCCATTAAAGATGACATTTCTTTGTTGCCAACAGTATTATTTCACTGCCATGAATATCTTCCATCGCTGAGGAGCTGCTGCTGAAGAACTGGTTTGAATTTAAATGTGGAATTTCAGATTTGAGGCGAGGCAGGTTTTTTTTTTTTTTCCCAAAAAAAAAAAAAAAGCAGCAATAACAAAAAAAATGTGTCTCAAATGGCTAAAAGTCTTTTGGAAGGAAGAAAAAAAAAAGAGACAGACTAGAATTTACTAACCATTAGTGGTGACTTGAATGATGGGAACAATATGAATGCACCTGTTTTATCCAGAATCACCTTAATTAGCTGAGATGCATTGTGCCATAGGAGCAGGTCGACTTTCTGATTTTTTTCTCCCTAATGTCTGGATCTTTGAATTGAAATCTTGCTATTTTACAGGATATAGAAAGAATGACTCACACAACAAAGATGGACATATGGTTTTAGGGCATAATACTGATGCAGCATTACTTTTAGTGAAATGCAATTAAGTGCAGTAAAGTGCAATACTGTAAATATTATAGATTAAAAAATAGCCGTACATTCTTATTCTGTTAATAACCAGTTCCGCAAGAACCATAACTTAAGTCCTTTATGCTCAGACTGGGTACATTGCAGTTTAGTGCCAAAATGACAGTCCGGGTCTTCTAGGAATGGATAAAAATATATGTATCACATATGGAAAAAGATAGATACTATGATTTCTAGTCAAGTTAATGTGCCATATTTCTGGGAAGTAAGATGAAAAGCCTGTATGACATTTTTGCAATCATTTAAAGTAAAACAAAACAAAAAAAAGTAAATGTTTTGTAGGGGTGGACAAGTTCAGTGTTTGCCAATTTTTCTTTTTTCCAGTTATGTAGACACCAAATACAAACTTGTCTAAGCAGCATAGCTAGTCTAAATGGAGGAAACTCCCTTGAAATTATATTACCAAAGTGTCTGGGTTTACTAACCCCCCATGTTTTTATTTGTTATGTAATTCTCTTCTAATCAATTTATTATGTTGTGGGTTTGTTTGTGAGAACAAATACTGCTCTTGTCTACTTCTAACAAGATAGCTCAATTTTTTGCCTTTGTTATCAAGGCCTGCATTCATGAAAGCTTATCCTCTCAATAGTACTGCCAGTAAGACTGTTTTTTCTTTCTCAAGTGTATTTATCATCTAGTAATCCATTACTAATTTTGGCTTTTGCTGATATTTATCAAATCCAAATATTTCCATAGGGCAAAAAGTAATGCATTAGATCTTTTCAGTTTTAGACATTTGCATTTTTTCCCCCAATTTTGATACTTTATGACAAGCAAATTTTCTGAAATGTCAAAGTGCTGCCATTTTCCACCTATTTATTATGTGAAAAGTGGTTATATTTTGGACATGTTAGAGTTTATAAATTTTACCTGTCTTTGCTACCTCTTTGTGAAAGCCTAATATCTCTTTAAACCAAGGCCATAATGCTAATCTAACATTAACCATTGTAAAGGGACATGGGGAATAAACCCAGACAATTAACAAGATTGGAACTAAGACCAAACTTTATCTAGAATGTATAAATGTTATTTATAGTAATGATATAGTATAAAGTTTATACTTCTAGATAAAGTTTGGTCTTAGTTCCAATATTGTTAATTATATCACATTTTACAACGAAAATAATAAATACTTTCCCCCACAACAACTCCAGCATTTTCAATTCCATATTTTTAACATACAGATTGGGAATTTCACCATAAGGAGGCACTAACCTCTAACAGATGAGCAGTTATACTGGCTACCCACAATACTTTGGGGTACTATGTTGCACAATATTGATGGCTAAAGGCTCAATCCTGAAGCCTTTATTCACTTGGATAGAAACTCACCTTTGTGCAGAGGGCCAGCACAAGCTTATGCACTACTCACATCCCATTTAAGCCCTATTCTGAGTGGTCATCAGCCGTGCTCTGGGCTTCTACACAGGAGTGAATTTCACTCTCAAATAGTTCCAGTGACTTCAGTGAAACTTCTCAAGTGAGGGGAAGAATTGGGCCCTGAGAGCCTTCAACCATCTTAGAAATGAAGTTATCTGCTTAACTGCACTTCCTGAAGTGTATTACATTTATAAAATATATCTGGTTACATTTTGAGAACAGTTGCCTACTAACAAGTTGACCTTTGGTGTTATACTGAATATCAGCACAGTAAGAACTTTCATATGTCAGTCAGATTTCTCCAAATTTGTCTGGGTTGGTGTTACTCTTTTTTGCATTACTGAAAACTCTACCAGTTTCTTAAGACTGGTAAGTCATATCAGTGGATGTCTCGGAGATATCTAAACTGCACTGGAGAACCGGAGGCAAGTGGCAGCAACTACTAGTTTAGCAGGGTTTGAAGTAGGAACAATAGATCATCCTGGGAAAAGGGCAGGATGCCTCACTGTATCTACATGCTGCTCCTGCATTTCATTCAGCGTTGCACACATGCCAGATACAATCCTGACAAGGGAATGAAGGTGCTGCTGCCAAAACTGCTTCTACTTTTCTTATTTCAAGAGCAGAATAGTCGCAGTGACACTGGGTCCAAAAGGCTCACTGGATCCAGCTTTGGATGGGACATGCATTTGGCCTTCTTTCTTCCTGGCCTTGTGAGAACGCCTGCTTAAGCTGGCACTTGTAAGGGCCAAATCCTCAGTGGGTGTAAATCAGTGTAGCTCTGTTAACCTCAATGGGACTGCCCTGATCTGCACATAGTGAGGATCTGGACCTCAGTCTCTTTTCTATCTCAACTGCTGTGGTCTGTTCTTCTTTCTTTTTATCGTGAACTTCTTCAACAGGTAAGTGGTTGAAGATAAGACAATTAAGGTTCTGAGATATTTAGTAAAGTTAAAAGATTATCTTTACTGAATTAATTTCACAGATAGCATGAGCCTCATTTATTGGACATCAGTGGCCACGTTAGTCTTTGCATAATCTCCCATTCTGAGAAACGAGAGCTTTCCACAGATCATCAGAACAATGTGCATTGGATGGAATTCTCTTGGTGTAGGTCTTCATTTAGTGTGAACTGGCTTCTGGCAAAGGTCTTCCTCAAAAGTTGGGCATGCTATTTTGAAAATAACGTGAACCACCTCAAAATAAATAATTTTGCCTAGAAACAAGTATATAAAAATTCAAAACAGGGCCCAATTAATCACACACAGCCCTTTGTAATCAAAAGATGAAACTCAGCTACAGATTTTTTTTTGAACTGTCAAAATATGCTTAAGTATTTGTATCAATTTGAATAAGAAGCTGACTCCATAATTGAGTTTTTATTGACTTGGGAAAGTCAAGAAAGAAACCAACGAGATCAGATTATTTGGCTTAGTAGGGCCATAGATGTAGTAATCTTTTGGTTTATTAATCATAATCTTTAACACTTATATAATGCCCTTTATAGGAAGCAGAGTAAGAAATTAAGGCATAGAAATTAAGGACCAGATTCTACCATTCATAATCATATTGAATACTATTATTTGTATTGTGGTAGCATCTACAAGCCACAATCAGGAATGGACTCCATTGTGCTAAGAACCGTACAATCATATAACAAAAAGGGTTCCTGCACCAGAGAGCTTATGGTCTAGTACCTTACTCCAAAGGTAATATTCAGCATGATTATGGGTGACAAGGAAGCCTTAATTTGCTTTCCTAAGACCATGCAGCTACCACCCAATCGAAAGCCGCTTTCAGTCAATGGAGTTTTTCCTTTGACTTCAGTGGAGCCAGCATTTCATCCCAGATCTCTAGTTTGTGGTGGAAATATGATTAGATCTCAGAATTTCCTAGCGCCTAATCACATGCACAATTCACTAGAATATCCTGACTGCCAGTCTCAGCTACTAACAATTTCTCACACAGACTAAACACCCCTGATGTCACTCTTTTGCGTGCTTGTTCTGCCCTTTTTTGTTTCTACATTTGCCCATGAAATGATAAAAAAAAAAAAAAAAAAAAAAGCCCTAGCAACATAATTTTGAGTTGACACATTGGGGCCATTGATTCAAATACTTTAGTACACACAGTCCTGTGGAAATCTGAGACAACAATAAGGATAAACACAGATTTTTTGGAGGGTGGGAGAAATTACATATGCATTCTACTCTTTAAGCTAGGCAAAAGGATTGTTTCATTTCTTTTTATAGATAGTTACAACTTATGGAGACATTATTACTATGGCAGTGGCAGGATCCTCCTTTCCCCTTTCTTTCTGAGGACATTTTACAAAAAAGCAGAAAAAATAAATGACATATTTCTGAATAAACATACTTATTTTTATAACATCTACTATCCTTGAATCACTAACGATCTTCAGCTCTGTAAAGTGACACAATCCACGTGGCTGGAGATCTTCCTTGTTGACAGTTAAAGCAGACAGTGACGTGCCCACTCCTCTTCTGTAAGTAGCTTGGTAAATCCTTTATGTTGCATTCTTCCCTCGGTGTGCATGTAATTCCCATAGTGGTCACAACTCCAAGTGGCAGTGGTAATATAGTGATTTGGAAGAACCTCTGATTCAGTACCTTGAAAAACATACAATGGTTGCAGGAGGATGTGGTGGAATCAACTAGGGCCTGATATTCTTTAGAGACAATAAAAAAAAAGCCCTATATGCTGTACTAATACATACCCTCTCCGTTGAACCACTGCTCAGTGTTAATGGGAGTTATATGTACCAAGAAGAAAATATAACCTTTCACTTTGTTGGTAAAATGGTGCCTCCTTTTGAGTTACTCCCTCCTTCAAAGCTGTGACCCAGGTCACATGGACACAATCCAGCTGTTTATATTATACCAGTTATTTCTTGCCAGTTGGCTTCTCTAACAAGGTCAATGATAGGCCATGGACTTCTGTGTTTGAGGCATTCTTCAAAAGAGGTACAATGTCTAATGTCCCTTGAATATTGGGTGTCCGTTGGACAAGGTTTGCATTATCAGCCGGTGCCTAATTTATTAAAAGTCAGCCTAAGAATTTGCTGATTTTCAGTAAAGATTAAAACTTCATGCAGTTCATACACATTTTATTGAAATTTGATATTTAATTAAAATCAGTTGAAGAATGTAGAAAATATCAAATTTTGAAGCTGAAGATATTTATTGAAA